TCCCCTGCCCCCAGGTGTCACCTGTCCCCTCTCACCTGCCCCCAGGTGTCCCCAGTCGTCCCCTGTCCCTTCTCACCTGTCCCCAGGTGTCCCCTCTCACCTGCCCCCAGGTGTCACCTGTCCCCTCTCACCTGTCCCCAGGTTGTCACCTGACCCCAGTCCCCAGGTGTCCCCTGTCCCTTCTCACCTGTCCCCAGGTGCCCCCTGTCCCCAGGTGTCCCCTGTCCCCAGGTGTCCCCAGTCCCCTCTCACCTGTCCCCAGGTGTCCCCTGTCCCCTCTCACCTGTCCCCAGGTGTCCCCTGTCCCCTCTCACCTGCGCACGAAGTGCATTTGGTTCCCACAGATGACGTCCAGCAGCAGCCGCTCGTAGGCGTCCGGCAGCTTCACGTCCTGGGGGGGCACCGGGGTGGTCTGGGGTGGTCTGGGGGCACCCCCAGGTGTGGGGGACACCCCCAGGTGTGGGGGACACCTGGGCTTTGGGAGGACCCTGCCAGGTATGGGGGGCACCCCAGGATTTGGGGATTTTGGGGGCTCCTCTGAGTTTGGGTGTATGGGGAACACCTGGGCTTTGGGGGGACCCCGGTGGGTTTTGGGAACCCCCCAGGATGTGAGGTCTCCCCCCACAGTTCTGGGGTCTCGATGTTCCAGTTTTGGTCTCAACACTGAGCTTTTGAGTCTCAGTGTTGTGATTTCGGGGTTCCAGCCCCTTTTCTGGATCTACAAACCCCATTTTGGGCCCCAATGCTCCATTTCCATGTCCCCAGCCCCCATTTTTGGGTCCCAGTGTTTGATTTTTGGGTCACCAAACCCTGGTTTTTTGTCCCCAAACCCCGTTTTGGGACTTGGTGCCCCATTTTCATGTTCTAAAACATTTTTAGGTCCCCAAACTGCACTTCCATGTCCCCACCCCCATTGCTGTGTCCCCAAATCCCATTGCTGTGTCCCCACCCCCATTTTGTGTTCCCACTACCATTCCTGTGTCCCCACCACCATTCCCATGACCTCACCCCCA